GAGTGGAGGGGGGGAGGGGGGGGGGGCTTTTCTTTGATAGCCTTTAATTGGAATTGAAACATTCTGGGGCTGTAAACATTCTTTATTTATTCAGCACACATAAGCGGGCATTGTTTTTATCACCATCATAATTACGGTGTCCTTTTTAAACTTACTGATAGCGGAGGAGATAAGGGAATGCGCCTGGAGCTCCGGATCAAATCGCCGACTCTCCCCGGGTCACCGGGATCCACACGGTCCTTGGAGATGAGGAGCGCCAGAAGACTGTGGCCTGACCGTCCCTTACGTCACGAAAGTGATTTGTACCACATTGCTAATTTGGTGCAATTCATAACCTCCCGATCTCCTACGTTTGCAACTGCTTTTTCGGCTCGCAGGGTGTGTTTTTTTAAGATGTAGCTCCCCAGCGCAGAAATTAAGAGCAATCACCTATGTGCAGGAGAGCATCTTATTTCCCAATGTTTGTTGCTTTACCTTTGTCTAATTAAAAATGCAAACTTTTAGGATCCTTTCAGAACAAAGCCTCACCAAATCCCCTTTACGTCCAAGGATTTGCAAATTTATAAAGGCTGCATTGAATTCAGCATGGGTCAAGGGGCAAAAAAAGGGTAGAAGGTCACTGCATTTTGATTATGGGTCAGTAAACAACATGGCATGTAGTATGTGTCCAGAAACTCCTGCTAAAAAGTATTTTAAAACTACCTAACTCAAGAAATAGCCTTAGCCCGTGGTGATTATAAATTGCACAAAATTCTAGTGCGCAAGTGACACCCCAGCCCCCATGGTAAGAAAAAAAAAAACAACCACAACTTAAAAAGCACTTAGCAAAACTCTGCGCTGCTGCTTTGTTTACCAAAAAAAACCCCAACAAAAAACCACCCCAACCCCCAAAAAACAACCCTCCCCCCAAAAAACACCAAAAAACCCCGAACCAACCCAACCCTGAAACTCCCAGGCATAAGAGTGTTAGCCAGATTAGGAGTATTTTTATTTATTTTTTTTTCCCAGACTGACGGTTGGCATTTCTTTGTCCTACACATTTAGAAGATTTTGTCCTGTGTTGTGATTTGTTGCCGTACTAGAATTTACGGCAAATTTTAGGTACAACCAACAGCTGACTTTAAAATAGCAGAAGGATCCTATTATACTGTTCTTTGACCCTATTATATTTACGTTACTGGACTCTTTGTGATAGCCTCTAGCTGCTTTCAGTGTCCTCCTTGAGCAAAACATGCCCAGCGATGTCTAAAAGCAGGGTGGAGGGTTAGAAAACAAGTTCTCATTCGAAATATATATTTCTTCCCAGCGTCGTGAAAGCAAAAGGTTTATTTAATGCTTGTCAATACCTGAAGACACGGTCCAGCACTTAACAAATAATAATAATAATAAATAATAATAATAATAATACTCTAACAATGTGGCGATCCCGGTGTGAAAATGCACATGACCTCTGAGGTTTTTCGCGAAGATTTTCAGCAGAATTCTCCCCATTGGTCCCACTGCTGGTGGACATCTCTGTTGCATTTCCCAACGAAACGTTTAAAAGACTGCAAATGGTGTGTGCATTACTTCATTGCAGAAGGAAGAGGTCAGGCTGAATTGCGCTGGTATTTAAACATAATCATGCTATGAAAATAAATCAAAACATCACGTAAAAGGAGTATTTTCAATGTGACACACATTTTCTTTCTGGAACGACGGGGCTCAGCACTTCCCCGCGAGCCTATATATTTTAACACAAGTTTACAAAAATGAAAGTGTACGATTTCCAATAAATTGGGAATAGGTCTACAGCGAGGTATGATGAATATTATTTTGCTCTTTCTTTTCTAATGAGGTTTGTCCTTCGGCCAGGCGGCTTCAAGACTGAAACACTACTGCCTATAGAGTGTAGATTGCAGATTGCACGCTACTCAACGTGAAAAGGAGCACGTTTGATTGATAGTCTCTCTGTGTGTGTGTGTGTGTGTGTGTGTGTGCGCCTACACACACAACTCTCTGTAGTTGCCATGTATATGTATTTGGCAAAAGCGGGCATCTCCGGGCGTCCTTATCGTAAGAAACGCGAGACAAACACCCATCCCTTTAATCATGTTCATCTTTGATCACCAGCGAGGGTGACACAGTCCACAAAATTAACAAAGAAACTCCCTTGCTTTGGAGAGATAGCTCCGTGTACATCTGGGGCTGCACACACATGCACGACACACAGCCGGACACACCGACACGCAGGCACACACACCCCGGCTCCCAGTAAGTCAATTATTGCATAACTTTTCACGTAATTGATACCAGACACCTTTAATTTTTCATTTTCATTCTTTTGGCCGGCAATCCAAGCCATAAATGTTGGTGGCTATTGATCGCAATCCCCTGTGTGCGTGCAAATCCATTTTCAAGTCCCCTGCCTTTAATGTGCGTGTGCGTGTGCAAGGGGCCTCCGCCGCCTCTTTATCAGGATCTACACCCCCCCACACCCCCCCAACCCCCAGTCTGCTCCAAGACGACCCCGGATACACACCGTGTGCTGATGGCAACGGGAAAACACACACACCCCCCACCAAAAAAAAAAAAAAAAACAACCCAACCAACAAACAATCCAACCCAAAACAAACCACCAATAAATACCAAAAAAGCCCCAAAACAACCGATGGAGAAATCGAGAAGCAGAGGTCTGCGTGTGAGGTGCGGGGAGGGATGTGCGACCCCAAAGTGTGTGTGAGGAGAGGGTGTGGGGGGGTGGGTTTGGGGGTCTGAGGTCTCCCAGGGACCTGTGCTGGTGCCTTTCTCCCCGGCGACGTTTGACTCTGCCTCGACCCCGCGCTCCCGGCCGCACCTTTGGGGAGAAACCCCAGGTTTTGCCGTAAGAAGCCGCCACGACTTTTAAGACCTTTGGGAGCGGCGGAATGAAGCCACCAGAAATAACGCTTTATTATTAATAATTATTATTAGGGTGTTTTTTTTTAAACAGTTGCCGAATTCCCCCAGCCAGGCTGTCACCGGCAGGGCGTGGGTGCGGGTGCCCCTGGCTCCCTGCGTGGGTTGACACGGGAAAGCCACCCCAGCTGAGCTACCTGGCGAATAAAGGACTTTTCAGCCCATCGCAGCTTTTTGGGGAGCGTCTTCCCGGCAGCTTTCTCGGAGTTTACTGTTCCTTTAGTGTTGACTCCATAGCCTTAACCTTAAAGCAGGGGGAGGAGAGCAGCGGGGAGGGGGTGGGGGTGTTGGCAGCATATAAGTACATCAGGAGGAATTTTTAAACGACCTTATTGTCTCTAGCTCTAGAAAGACGGCGATGATTTCTTTTTAGCGCCGGCAGCTGTTTTCTCTCGAAAACTTTGTCTTACAGCCTCCAGCCTCCTCCGGCTGCCCCCGGGCCGGGCGGGAGGGCGGGAGGCGAGGCGGGGGGAATCCAGATGCGAGGCGAGGGAAGGCGAACTCGGCGGATGGTCTGAGCCGGTGCCGAGGCATTGTTCGCTGCTGCCTCTCGGTTACGTTTAAAGGCTGAAATATCACGAGATCCACTCAATGATCCTTCTTTTTTTTTTTTTTTTTTTTCTTTCCCCTCTTTTTTTTTTTTTTTTTTTTTTTTGTGTGTGTGTTCTAATTCGAGGGACAAAATGTAATTTGCTGTAGCTCCGCTTGCTCGGATGGGAATACTATCCCTGGGTTGCAAAGGGAAGAACTAGGCATCGAGGTTCGCACACACATGGATTAAGTTGAACAGCGGCGATTACATCTGCGCTGAGAGCAACAGTAGTCCAGGGCTGACTTTTCCAATCTCAGCCCCCTGAGTTAGAGGCTCCCTTCAATAGACTTCCTCCATTCCCGGATGCACTTCTCCAAATTCCCACTTCTCTCTAGAATTCCTGCGAAATTGGGGGCTCGCCTGCTGCATTTCGCCTTGGCGTGCCAAGCTGCCTTTTTCACAGAGTGATTATGCGCTTTATTTTAGCTGTACCTGACGGGGTAACACGAACTCCACGCACCATATTGCCAACACGCGGAGTGGATATTGACGTTTGGGATTGAAATTTTTTTTTTTTTGTGAATTTGTGGTTTTTTTTTTTTTTTTTTTTCCTCGT